TATATATATATATATGTGCAAGCTTGTATAAGCTTGTACAAGATAATTATGATTTCCTAAATTCTCATTTAGTTTCACAAACCAATCAGATGTGGTGAACTAATATTTAGATTGCTTATTAATTTGATCCATTATATCTGAGGTAAATTGTTTACCAAATAAATAAACAAATAAAAAAATTAAAGGGAAAAAAATCAAGTGATTGAATATGTAAATGCATAAATGAGAGAATGAATACAGAAGGAAATGACCACAGTCATATTCATATTTGCAATATGAATCTCAGGCTCCATAAATAGTAATGGAGTGTGGTAATATATACTGCAGCCCAACTGGAGAGAGCAATTAAGAGGCTGCTCAGATTTAGTAGAAATAATGCTACTCGCAGAAGACAAGGAGGTAATTGTGAGACAGCCTTGATTGTTTTGTAAGAAGATGCTTTCCCTTTAACTTTTGAAACACTCCGGCATCTAGAGACTCTGTTTTAATGGAAATAAGTGAGTCTGGAAAAAAAGGTCTAATTTTTTCTCATTTATTTACTTCTCTAAATGCATTTTTAATCATATAAAAATTAAGGAAATAAGAATAATTAAAAAATGGAAAATTTTAGCACTTTCGGGAACGGCGAGGTCCTCGCGTCATTCTGCTTCAAAGAAAAAAGATAAATGATGATGCCATTAAAAAGTGAACTAATTAAGGAAGGCTTCTTTTAAGAACTCATTAACTGCAACCTCATTTACATAATGATGCATATTAATTAAGTTTTAATGAATCTGAATTTCCACCAAGCCGCTTTTCTTTGGCTGTGGAACAAATTGAACAAATTATTTAAAAGTGTTCTTGAGTCTACTTTTCACACCAAAGGGGAGAGAATGCAATCATTTGTAGAAAATCATATTTTTTTAGGCAGGCCCATCTGTTATTTTTTTTTTTTTTTATGTAATGATTTACCCTTTTTTCTAAACCTGGGAGATTTGTTGCATTTCCACACAAATCACGAGCTTTGTGATCAAGGGTAAAAACACCGGAAAATAAATCTAATGAATTTAAGACTTTTCAAAAAAATAAAAGAGAGAGATATGTCCACACAGTCAACAAGTAATGCAAGAGAGTGGCTTTTATTTTTCTCTTACACAGAAGGCTATTTAAACTTTACAGGACCTTTTTAATAAAAAGAAACTTGTGCATATAATACACTTAATTTTACTAAAAATATATAATACAAAATATAATATTTAAAAATTTAAAACATCATAATGGGTTACCTTAAAGACCTCAACGGAACATTTGTTGCTATCTGTTGCTGCCGTGGTGAAACTGGAACAAGAGAATGCATGTTTAACAGCACCAGCTGCAGCAATTTCAGGTGTTACTGTGGAGTGTGAGTGACTTAACACATGTGCTGCACAAACATCAGTATCATCTCCTTCCTCTCTGCATGCAAAGCTCTCTCTTTCTTCCTCTCTCTCTTTAACACTTAACGCTGCAACGCTACTAGCATAAATCTGGGGATAAGCACAGCCCGTGGGACTGACAGTGCACAAAGTTTAGCGTTTTAGCCTTTTTTATTTCGGGGGAGGGAGTGGAGGTGAGAAAGGAAGAAAGAGAGAGAGAGAGAAAGAAAGAAGCTGATGAAAGCCATTGCAGGGTGCTTAATGCAAAACTCACTTGCACCAAATGGAGCGACGGTGCCTCTCTCCCCTTCGTCTCCCAGATGCTGAGCTCCGGATGTGTCTCTGAGGTTAACCTGACACAAGCGACAGCTCTGCCCGCCTTGCGCAGCCCCCTCTCGCTCCTTCATCAGTTTCTGGCGCTTTAAAGGAATCACCTTTCAGTGGTGGTAGGATGCCGGGGGTTCTTCTGACAGTGAGCACCTTCCTCAGGGGAGGTCAGGAGTCAGGGATTCAGATGAGGCAAGCTGGCGATGCAGTGTAACTGAAAATGGAAAGCAGATGTTAGTTAATTAGGGAAAATGTGACTGACAAGACTTGAGCGGCAAGGTACACGAGCTAGCCGGCACCGAGCAGCTGTTGTTGCCGACTTCATTGTCAGTCTCATACACAAGTCACAACATCCCCACGGCGAAACGTGGCCGCATACGCAGACAGTTATCAAAATAGAATTAAGCTTGATTTAATCATACCCATCTCTCCTTTGAGTTTTCGGCCATCGTCGGCCAGCCGCGTGTTTTTCTCACCTCCCTGTTTTCTTCCAGTTAATTTTCTGCATTTATCTCATCGCTGCGATGCACCCAGGGCTGTGATTCCGCCGAGACTTTTGCCGAGAGGGTGGAGAGACAGTAGACGGGGGGGAAAATTGCAGACAAAATAAAACATTCTTAATGAGCCACACGCAGTAATCTTTCACTTCTCTCTCCTAGAGTAGGAGGATGTAACGGCGCTGAGATTTTTGGTGAAGCGTTTCAGCAAAGTGAGAACGAAGAGGTGCAGAGCTCATCGCTTCGATTGTCATGGATCCTTGGATGGAAAAACAGATTAATATGCATTAAATGTGGCACGTACTGAGGAAATCACATTCCCAAACTGATAGTTCAGACTTCCTTTACCTCTGACCTTCTGTGTGTATGTACATGTACAGTTGGCCCCAAGATTGATTTGGAGACATTAAGGAAGAGTTCACTCAAAAATGAAAATTGTCATTGCCTTTCTTCTGTGGAACACAAACTGAGATATTTAAAAATAAATGTTTTTTCTGTACACTCAAGGTCGAAAGGGTCCAATCTTGCTTTGGACCCCGTTGACTTTCATTGTCTGGACAATTGCAGTTGAATCATTCTTCAAAATATTTTTTGTTCCGCAGCAAAAAAAAAAAAAAGTAAATTAGTAAATGATGACAAAATGACAGAATTCTCATTTTAGGGTGTACAATGCCTTTAAAACATCTAAATGCATAGATAATACCAAATGTACTGCTCAAAATGGACACTTTTCACATTTCCAGGGTTCTTAAAAGTGGAAGTCGCCATAGCTGGGTAAACATCTTAAAAAAAATTTAAAGAAAATCACGAGATTGTTTCCGTTAGTCCGAAGAGACAAAGATGTCAAATTTACCATCACTTTCTCAGTCATTGTATTAGAAACACTCATGCAGCAGCATTAACTAGTTTTCTGTCTTAATGCCAAGGTAATATAACAAAGTATAGTGTCATAAATGTACATTTACAGTTTAAAAATGAATATATATGCACATTTCTACAATTCTTAACGCCATAAATCTAGCAAAGCTAATATATATATATATATATATATATATATAAAAAATAAAACTTGAACTTTCTTAATAAGTCTTAAACTTTCTGTTCATCATATAATCCTGAAAAAGTATCACTATTTCCACAATCCGTGAGTGATAGTGTTCCTTTGGTATATATATATATATATATATATATATATATATATATGTGTAAGCTTTGCTAGATTTATGACGTTAATAATTGTAGAAATGTATCATCACAGAAAAAAATGTGAAAAGGTCCGTTTCCTGTTGTCAGTAGCTGAACATGACCATATGATAAACTTCACCTGTGGTTATTCCACAAGGACACCTGTGTGAATTTATTACAAAGTCACTTTGTAACCTGAAAAGCGAAGAAACGCAAAGTTAGCTTTGAGAAACACCAAATTTTGATACCAAATGCAGCGACATTCAGTGCGAGGGCACTGTACAGTGTATAATTACAAATTCATAGAATTGGTGTGTTTGGATATGGTTACACTATTGCAGGGATCCTCAAATCTGGCCCACGAGATCCACTTGCAGAGTTTAGCTCTAACCCTAATCAAACACACCTGAGCATGCTAATCAATGTCTTCGGGATCATTAGAAAATCACAGGTAGGTGACTTTGATCAGGGTTGGAGCTAATCTCTGCAGCGCATTGGCCCTCCAGGGCAAGATTTGAGGAACCCTGCACTATTGTGTTAAGAAGTGTCTAATTTACAGCCTTGATCATTACTGTTTTGATATTCTGCTATTGATTGCTTTTTTATTTTCTTTGTGCAATCTTGGTTTATACATTCTGTTGCAACCACAAATCGATATACGCATAGAAAGATTTCCCCCCTTTCCTTTGGAGTATGTTTTAGTTTAGAGTCTAAACTTTAGACAGTGTTTAAAGGGTTTCTAAACAGTTTTTTTAATTTCAAAGAAGCATCTTTGCTTGTCCATCCATTAATCATTTACTTACTCTCATGTTGTTCTAAACCTGTATGACTTTCTTTCTTTAGTGGAACACAAAATATTAAAACAAAATAATAGTCCAAATGACATTGGACTCTAGTTGCTATAGACAGGCATTTTTCAATATATCTTCATTTGTGTTCCACAGAAGAAAGTAAGTCATACATGTTTGGAACAAATGACAGAATGTTCAGTTTTGTGTGAACTATCCCTTTAATTCTGCATAAACACATTATTTCCATCTCTAATTTTGACAGCACTGTTAGTTCAAGAACACACTGCAGAGAGCCAAGCATTGCTCTAAACCACAGACTCTCTGTGCCTAAGTCTGGGCACGTTACATGAATCTCTGGTCAGCAATATTAGCCTGTGAATTTGATGAATTGCTAGACATTAGACCCATTCAAACAACAGATGTTAATTCACTTCAGATGTGAATTATCAGATCATTTGTGTCAGGAAGCATAATATGAATGACACAGATTATCTGAAATTCTTCCCCTGGTAGACAGAACGTCCTTTGTCTCCTCAGGTAGAGGGCTCTGGAGTTAAGGAGGCAAACTCCAGAATGTTCCATTAGCCAGCCGTGTCTCTAAACATCTCATTAGGACCTCAACATGGCAGCTTTGGGCTCTGCTGTGGAGAGCGATTGCTTTGCTCTTTGATGAGAAAATATTAGTTATTCTGGCTTTGGATCCCATACACATATGTCCTGTTGTTTGGTGTCATTAACAAAGGACACTGAAACAATCATGATGGCCTCGGTTCTTAAGGTTGCATACAAATGTCTCAATTGTATAACTATCTCAGCTGTATTTCTAAATAGATAGAATGTGGCCCAAAAGTCTGAGAACACATTCAAAATCTGGGATTTCAAATTCAAAACTGTAAGCAACGAAATATTTTGATATAGATTAAGAATTTTTTTTGTCACTATTCCAATAAGAACATTTGTGAAATTCATCATGTTGCTTCCCGTGAAGCTCAAGATGCTTTTAGGATCGTCTGGAGAACATGATTGCAAGATTTTACACAAGTTTGTTATTAAAGCAAAGGGGACAACATTCACACAGCAGCAAAATGGTTATTTACGAGATAACCACATTTGATAACCAAACTCAGTCGTAAATTTTCAGGTCGCATTTTTTAATCGCATTTTAAGCGAACAGTGTGAAGGGAACCGATATATACTTACTGTCAATATTGTTACAGGTGATATGCACTGGGTGGCGCTGTGGAGCGTGTTAACAAGTTGATTGTATTTGATCACAGAATGTCGTCATCTGCCTCGCGAAGTTTGGAATTACTTTGATCAAAATGACCTTACTAAATGATCTTACAAAATGGAATTACTTTTAATCAAATGAATCAGTGAAACTGAGCACAAATGCAGGTAAGTGCAGCTGTACCCCGAGTGAGCCGAGAAGAGAGCTTATCTGATAGAGAAATGATCTTGAGACATATGCTTCCTTTAAGTCCTCGAGCGAGAGTGCATGGTTTAAGAACAGAAAACACAAAGCACTGTAAGAAACTTTGCTTGGCACCCGTTATCTTTGTGTCTCTGGAATGTCAGACTGATGAGCCAACTTTCAGTCGAGCATGTGGATATTATGGTTTTTCTCAACATTAACATGTGAAACAATATAAAAACGATAAACATAACGTTAGGCCGACTCGAGTGTATGTTAGGGGTGGCCTATATGACCAAAATCTTATATCACGATATGAACATTTTTATTTTACTGTAACAATATATATCATGATATAGTTATTTTTACTTTAAATAAGATCTTTATGATATCAAGTCACTTTAAGAGGTGCCCGGATCCAATATACTGTTACACATGTGTTTTCATTCTCAGCTGTTTGCTTTCACTTGTAAAGACGGGCATTTTGACACATACAAGTGTGTGTATTAACCGTTCAAGGCCTATAAAGCAGCAAAAATATCTCCGTTCAATACTCCCGCGCTCTGTGAGCACCGTCTTCACATGCGCACACAGTTGCTGCATCCCAATTCGCCTACTTATACTATGCCATAAAAGTATGTACCCTTTTTGTGAAGAAAAAGTACATACTTTTGAGGCAAGCTTCGGGACGCATAGATATGTATACGTAGATGCCTCATTAGCGTCTGTTACTGTGGGCCGCTATACGTAAGCCGTCCGCCAAATTCGAAGGGTCAACTTGACGTCATTCACCCTAACAGTAACATAAGTTACCAATGATTCAAAACTTGTAATATTGAGTTAATACATTTAAAAACACAAACCAACACATTCTCACCTGTAAAATGTTATCCCGTTTTTACAAGCATCGGCTTTGCAGGATTGTGGCATCTTCGAATATTCATTGATTATTATGGTGAATGATGTCAAGTTGACCGTTAAAGATGGCGAACGCATCTACATGCTTGGCACAGTCGAATGGGGAATCTACCTATACATATCTATGTTTGGACGTACTACTACCGCTCTGTTGCTTAGTTACGTGTATCCTTTTAAACTTCCCTGTCAATCCTCTTGTCACAGTTAACATCATCCACATTTAGTTTAATTTAATTTCCTACCATATTGGAGAGAATTGTAGAGGAATGTTGATCTGCCAGTCGCGGGTCCTTCCTGCCGAGAACTCCGCTCGTGTGTTTGCATAATAGCATTTAAAAGTTAATGACCAACGTATCTTTATAAAAGTGTATAACGCTGATAACATTAAATAAATATTTCTTCATCAGGTTAGACATTGATTATTTATCACTCAAACCCCTCGCATATCCGCCATGTTTGTAGTTTAAAAAAATACTTTTGAATGCATGTTTGTAGTTCTAATCGAATCCTCTTTGGCATACTTATTTCAACATACTACGATTTGGGACATACTAATTCTATTTTCGAATACTATTTAGGAGGGATAGTATGCGGATTGGGATGCAGCAAGTCTCTCAAGCGCACACGTATAGAGAAATGAGTTGTCTTTCGCTGCTGATTGCATTTCAACGGCTTAAAACACTTGTTTTTAAACCACAATGCTTAAAAATGTGTACAGGCTATATGTTTTCGTGTGCTATGTACAGCAACGGCACATGAGCATGTAACCACAATAGAGACAATAGTTTAAAATCTCTACCGGTATATCGCCCTAGTGTACGTTCTGTACTGTAATTGGCACCATCTGCTTTATTTTTTCCGTTTGCTCTGCTTGAGCTTGAATGCTTTTATTCTTTATATAGGTATTTACACGTTTTAAACTAAAAGAAAATCTTGATATATAACGTAACGTTTTTGTAGAACATTGTGTATAATGCCTAATCA